TAGTACATGGGGATGGGATCCCAAGTGTGAAACGTGCACATGGTCACTGATTCTAACACTTTTCCTGCACTGCGCCTTTTAGGGCTAGGCCTTTTGGCTAAGTCCAGGGCAATTGTTATGCTACAGGCCTCAGGGCCTAGCCAGTGCACAATTGTACGGCCGCTTTTTTATTTTTACTTATTTATTTAATTTATATTTCTCCCACGTTTGTTTCACTTTCACTTATGTGTGTGTTTCTTTTCTCACGAATGGTAGGGTGTGGGTCCTCGGACCTACCTTGAAGTCTAGGGGGAGGATGTGTGGCCTTTTGGTTCCTTCCTCCCCTGTCCCTAGGGGGTCTCTCTTCGGGAGAGCCCCCTGACCAAGTACTTGGTGGCTGGCTTAAGCTAGCCACAAGGAAAGGGGTCCACCAGGCCTTTTGGCTAGGAGGACCACATGGGAACCTTAGTCCTTGTCAGGAGCTTCGTGCCCCGGGGGATCAGGGTAGAGATCCTACCCCTTCGGGGGGTGGACAAAACACACCCCTAAGTGCACTTTTTTGTGTTGGTTTTGCACTAGCACTTTTTTTGTTCACTTATGGGTTTTCATTTTTTCGCACTTCCGCGGACTTAAAAAAAAAAAAAAATCTGTCGATCACTGGGTCCCGGCCAGTGATTCCCCACTGGCACCCGGTGATCGCCATGTATCGCCGACGGGGGAGAGACCTGTATGTAAACAACACAGATCTCACCCCTGTCAGCCCCTGCACACTGCTTTGTATGGCTCGCATAGCAGAACCATACAAAGCATTGTGCTTACAATGTAAATCACACACACAGCACACAGTAAAACACACACCACACACATTCAACCCTTTGATCATCCCAGATGTTAACCCCTTCCTGCCCAGTGTCATTAGTACAGTGTCAGTGCTTTTTATTAGTACGAATCACTTTATTGGTGTCACTAGGGATGTCAGTGACACCAAGTCAATCCCCCCCAGCGTCAAATGCCTACCGTAGTCCCACTATAAGTCGCTGATCACCGCCATTACTAGTAGAAAAACAAAAGAAAGATTCCAGTATATACAGTCATGGCCGAAATTGTTGGCACCCTTGATATTTTTCCTGAAAATCAAGTATTTCACACAAAAAAGGTATTGCATTAACACATGTTTTGCTATACACATGTTTATTCCCTTTGTATGTATTGGAACAAATATAAAACAGAGGCAGAAAAGCAAATATGACATAATGTCACACAAAACCCCAAAAATGGGCTGGACAAAAGTATTGGCACCCTTAACTTAATATTTGGTTGCACACCCTTTGGAAAACATAACTGAAATCAGTCGCTTCCTATAACCATCAATAAGCTTCTGACACCTCTCACCCGGAATTTTGGACCACTCTTCCTTTGCAAACAGCTCCAGGTCTCTCTTATTGGAAGGACACCTTTTCCCAACAGCAATTTTAAGATCTCTCCACAGGTGTTCAATGGGATTTAGATCTGGGCTCATTGCTGGCCACTTCAGAACTCTCCAGCGCTTCTTTGCCATCCATTTCTGAGTGCTTTTTGACGTATGTTTGGGGTCATTGTCCTGCTGGAAGACCCAGGATCTTGGACGCAAACCCAGCTTTCTGACACTGGGCCCTACAGTGCGACCCAAAATCCTTTGGTAATCCTCAGATTTCATGATGCCTTGCACACAGTCAAGGCACCCAGTGCCAGAGGCAGCAAAACAACCCCAAAACATCATTGAACCTCCACCATATTTTACCGTAGGTACTGTGTTTTGTTCTTTGTAGGCCTCATTCCGTTTTCGGTAAACAGTAGAATGATGTGCTTTACCGAAAAGCTCTATCTTGGTCTCATCTGTCCACAAGACGTTTTCCCAGAAGGCTTTTGGCTTACTCAAGTACATTTTGGCAAACTGTAGTCTTGCTTTTTTATGTCTCTGTGTCAGCAGTGGGGTCCTCCTGGGTCTCCTGCCATAGCGTTTCATTTCATTTAAATGTCGACGGATAGTTCGCGCTGACACTGATGCTCCCTGAGCCTGCAGGACAGCTTGAATGTCTTTGGAACATGTTTGGGGCTGCTTATCCACCATCCGGACTATTCTGCGTTGCAATCTTTCATCAATTTTCCTCATCCGTCCATGACCAGGGAGATTAGCTACAGTGCCATGGGTTGCAAACTTCTTGATAATGTTGCGCACTGTGGACAAAGGCAAATCTAGTTCTCTGGAGATGGACTTGTAACCTTGAGATTGTTGATATTTTGCCACAATTTTGGTTCTCAGGTCCTCAGACAGTTCTCGTCTCCTCTTTCTGTTGTCCATGCTTAGTGTGGCACAGACAGACACACAATGCAAAGGTTAAGTGAACGTCTCTCCTTTTTATCTGCTTTCAGGTGTGATTTCTATATTGCCCACACCTGTTACTTGCCCCAGGTGAGTTTACAGGAGCATCACATGCTTGTAACATTCTTATTTATCCGCAGTTGTGAAAGGGTGCCAATACTTTTGTCCAGCCCATTTTTGGAGGTTTGTGTGACATTATGTCGAATTTGCTTTCTTTCCTCCCTTTTTTTGTTTTGTCCCAATACACACAAAGGGAATAAACATGTGTATAGCAAAACATGTGTTAATGCAATACGTTTCGTGAGAAATACATGATTTCCTGGAGAAATATCAAGGGTGCCAACAATTTCGGCCATGACTGTATACCGCCATTTGTAGACCTTATAGCTTCCACATAAACCAATTAATTTACACGTATTGAGATTTTTTTTAGCAAAGACATGTAGCAGAATATATTTTGGCCTAACTTTATGATGAAATTTGATTTTTAAATTTTTTTTACTAGACATGTTTAATAGCAAAAAGTTTTTTCTCAAAATTGGCAGTCTTTTTTTTAAGCACAAAAAATAAAAAACACAGAGGCGATCAAATACCACTGAAAGAAAGCTCTATTTGTGGGAAAAAAAGGAAATAAATTTAGTTTGGGTGCAGCACTGCATGCGTTGGCATTAAAAAATACAATATATGCTTTTTGATGCGTTTAATTGAATTTTATGAACCCCCCAATGTATTTAAATACAGAAAAACAGACATGTCATATTTTTTAAACAAATTTGCAATACAGTGCTGAGACGGGAAGAGACACTTTTTTTTACTGTGGGGAAGTACATTAAACTGCTACAGTGTAAATGGGCCTAAAATACTATTAAAGTTCTTTAAAGCTTTTCAAATGTTGTTTTCCTAAAGTGTTTGTACATGTACTCTTTTGTTTTAAACAAACAAGTTTATACTTATCTGCTCTGTGCTAATGAATTGCACAGAGCAGCCCGAAACCTCCTCTTCTCAGGTCCCCCATAGGCGCTTATGGCCACTCCTTTCTGGTGAGTTCCCCCTTTGGAAGCCACTTCCTATGGGGGCACTCCTGCAGGCTTGCTCCCAAGCCTCCTTCTCTGCATCTATTAACAAACAGACGCTCACTTGTCTCTGGTTTTCATTGACAGCAGCAGGTGCCAATGGCTCCCACTGCTTCAGCAAAGCCCGAGAGTCCAGGAAGTGAATAGAGAGAAGAGCTGCAGACATGCACAGCACTGGATCAAATGTGGGCTCAGGTAAGTGTATGGGAGGGATGAGGTGGGATACCACTGCCGAAACATGTTTTACCCTAATGCAAGGAATGCATTAAGGTAACAAATGGATAGGCTTTATAACCACTTTAAAGAGTTACTAATTATATACCCATATGGAAGTAAAATATATTTGAAATACTACAATTTTGGCCATATTCAATATAATTAAAAATATATTTAAAAAAAAAATAATAATAAAAAAGTATATATATATATATATATATATATACTGCATGTTGAAATGCATTTTTATTACAAAACATATTAAAAATATTTGTAAAAATACATTTAAAATATACTGTATGTCTTTAAGTTTAAAAATACAAATCTACATTTTTGGAATACATTTACAAGTATATGTAAAATATATGTTAAAATGACTTTTTTATATGTTAAAAAATCTGAAGAATATATTTTTTTAAAAAATATTTTTTAAATATATTTTTTTAAATATATTCTTCAGAGTATATATATATATTTTAAATAATATATTGAATATGGCCAAAATTGCAGTATTTCAAATATATGGCAATATATTTAGGGGCAGCACAGTGGATAAATGATTAGCACTTCCACCTGGCAGTACTAGGGTTGTTGGTTTGAATCCCAACCAAGGAACCACCTGCCTGGAGTTTGCATGTTCCCCCTGTGCCTGCATGTGTTTCCTCCAGGTACTCCAGTTTCCTCTCACACTCAAAAAGACATGTTAGTAGGTTAATTGTATCCTGTCTAAACTGGCCCTAGCATATGAATGTGAGTTAGGGACCTTAGATTGTACACCCCTTGAGGGTTATGGACTGATGTAAATGTGCAATATATCTAAAGTGCTGCATAAATTGATGGTGCTATATAAGTACCTGAAATAAATATATTTGGGAAGAATATTTTTAAAATATATTTCAAATATATTATTCTTCCATGTGGGTAGGAACATGTGGGCAGCCATAGTTTTCTCATTAGATCTACAGAGTCAGATTGTGCCTTGCTGCCTTATCTGTCTGCAAATTTGCCAAGTCTGTCCTAGGCTGGCCATAATTATATAGATTTTTTCTGTTTAGTCGGAACGGTGAACAGAAAATATCTAATAGATTTCTCCATTTCTATCATTGCAATTAACCTTGGATGGAATTGAATGTCTTTGGTGTTTGGCCCATTATTTGGATGGTGGACTACAGTGGAGCAAGAGTGAACTCCAGGGACAATTGATGTAAACAGGCACTCTTATGGGGACACTTGATGTAAGAGGGTACTCTGACAGGGATATCTATTGTAAGGGGCACTGTGATGGGGATACCTGATGTAAGGGGGCACTTTGATGCAAAGGGGCACGCTGATAGTGACAATTGTAATAAAGGGGCACACTGATGGGGACACTTAATGTAAGGGGGCACTCTGATGGGGATACCTGATATAAGGGGGCACCTGATGGGGACATATGTAAGGGGGCACTCTGATGGGGACACCTGATGTAAGGGGGCACTCTGATGGGGATACCTGATATAAGGGGGCACTCTGATGGGGACGCCTGATGTAAGGGGGAACTCTGATGAGGACACTTGATGTAAGGGGGCACTCTGATGGGGACATTAGGACCCTGATGTAAGGGAACATTCTGATGGGGAAGTTTATGTAAGGGGGGACTTTGATGAGGACACCTGATGTAAGGGGGAACTCTGACAGGGACATCTATTGGAAGGGGCACTGTGATGGGGATACCTGATGTAAGGGGGCACTTTGATGCAAAGAGGCACGCTGATAGTGACAATTGTAATAAAGGGGCACACTGATGGGGACACCTAATGTAAGGAGGCACTCTGATGGGGATACCTGATGTAAGGGGGCACTCTGATGGGGACACCTGATGTAAGGGGGCACTCTGATGGGGACACCCGATGTAAGGGGGCACTCTGATGGGGAACACCTGATGTAAGGGGCACTCTGATGGGGATACCTGATGTAAGGGGCACTCTGATGGGGATACCTGATGTAAGGGGGCACTCTGATGGGGACACCTGATGTAAGGGGGCACTCTGATGGGGACACCTAATGTAAGGGGGCACTCTGATTAGGACCCTGATGTAAGGGAACATTCTGATGGGAAAGTTTATGTAAGGGGGACTTTGATGAGGATTCCTGATGTAAGGGGGAACTCTGACAGGGACATCTATTGGAAGGGGCACTGTGATGGCGATACCTGATGTAAGGGGGCACTTTGATGCAAAGGGGCAGGCTGATAGCGACAATTGTAATAAAGGGGCTCACTGATGGGGACACCTAATGTAAGGGGGCACTCTGATGGGGATACCTGATGTAAGGGGTACTCTTATGGGACACCTGATGTAAGGGGGCACTCTGATTAGGACCCTGATGTAAGGGGAACATTCTGATGGGGAAGTTGATGTAAGGAGGGACTTTGAATGAGGACACCTGATGTAAGGGGGCACTCTGATGGGGATACCTGATGTAAGAGGGCACTCTGATGGGGACACCTGATGTAAGGGGGCACTCTGATAAGGACGCTGATGTAAGGGAAGATTCTGATGGGGAAGTTGATGTAAGGGGGGACTTTGATGAGGACTCCTGATGTAAGGGGCACTCTGATGGGGATACCTGATGTAAGGGGGCACTCTGATGGAGACACCTAATGTAAGTGGGCACTCTGAAGGGGTCACCTAATGTAAGGGGGCATTCTGATGGGGATACCTGATGTAAGGGGGCACTCTGATGGGGACGCCTGATGTAAGGGGGCACTCTGATGGGGACACCTGATGTAAGGGGCACTCTGATGAGGACCCTGATGTAAGGGAACATTCTGATGGGGAAGTTGATGTAAAGGGGGACTTTGATGAGGACTCCTGATGTAAGGGGGGACTCTGATAGGAACACCTGATATAAGAGAGCACAGACTTTGTTTTTTGTTTTTCTTAATCCAGTGACATCCTAATACACACTACTGTTCCCTGTTCATTCCTGCACCGCCTCTGCACTACTTGTCAGACATGACTTCCAGGTTGTGACTCTACGGTACAGAAACGCTCTGAGTAAACAGGGAATACTGGTTCCAAGTATGTCTGTCACACTGTTGACATTAAAGATTTTTTTTTGCTATGCCCCCAGATCAGAAAGCCTAGAGTTTTCATGCTGCGTGTGTAATCATCAGTAGATTCTTGTCGGTGGCCACTGTTTACCTGCCGAGCAAATGTAGCTTTATACTTCTTAAGACCGATATTTTAAATCAAACAATCATTTACAAAGTGACTTAGGAGACATGATGTAATAGAGGCAGTAGGGGGCACATATTGTTGTGGATATTAACAGGTTTTGTTTCCATGAAATGTAACTTGTGTAATGTTTTAGGTTTTGTGCTGCTTTAACGGAAAGCTCTTTCTTGCTTTTACTTTCATCAGGTTATGTTTGTTTTTCTATATTAAGATGTCTACCCCCTGGACTGCATTCTCCTAGGTGCTTCCCCACATAATCTCTTCTGGTACATGTTGTTTGTGGTGTTTGGTGACTAATAGTCATGATTGTGTTGACGAGTCTTGTGGAGCGAGCTCAGCTGAAGAGAACCTCACGTGATCCTCTGGCCTGTTTTTCTGCCTTGTCACTCTGCACTGAGTCACCGCTGACACACACACAATGGAACGTCTCCACTCCCAGAGCCTGAGGAGAACCATGTAACACCGAGGCGATACACTTATCCAGGCCATCTGCCTTGTGTCAGCGCCGCATTTATATGCAGGATCAGCATTCGCTCTAAAACTATTTTTATGCTCCAGAAAACTCTACCACCTTCTCTGGGAGGAAATACCAGCTTTATGATCTCTTTCCAAACAATGTTGGCAAACCATCCTGTTTTTATGGGCCAGTAAGGATATCAGACCAGTGGGAAATAGAAAGACTTTTTGAACTTTTTTTATAAACCCAGGTCCCATCAGTGGGATTGCCTTTTAACCAGTTCATGCCGACCCGGCGCATATATGTGGCCTCTCGGCGGGTGGTCTTTACCGCTGAGTGGCCGCATATATGTGCTCCTTGGAGCTTACAATCTAAGAGGATGCGGGGGATGTTGAGGAGAGTCACGAGGCTCAAGAGAGACCAAGCCTGATCTCTATTTTTTTGGTGGTTGGTACAGCTAAAATGTAGTACTGCATATTAAGCAGGCAACTTTTTATATATATATATATATATTTATTGAAATATATTTTATATTTATTTATATATTATATATAACAAAGCCTCAAATAGCACAATTTAGTACTAGATTTAAAAAAAAAAAATGACATGACACAGAGGACAGAGCTTGCACAGTAAAGCACCATCATTCAGGTCATCATGGTGGATAAATATAGCCCTACACACTGGCAGGTAAATTGAGGAAGAGGTCTAAGAGGTCTTCCTGGAGGTCAGAGCTACCCACATGGAAGAAAAATATATTTAAAAAATATTCTTCCCAAATATATTAACATATATTTGAAATGCTACAATTTTGGCCATATTCAATATATATATATATATATATATATATATATATTTATTTATTTATTATTATATAGGATTTATATAGCACCAACAGTTTGCGCAGCTCTTTACAATATAAGGGAGACGGTACAATTATAATACATTTCAGTACAGAAGGAATGTGAGGGCCTTGCTCGTGGAGCTTACAATCTAGGCGGATCTAGGCTGGAGCTTAGCCTGTGTGTTCGGTACAGCAGTATACAGCACACAGTCAAAAGATATCTATAGTGACTCTGGGTTTTAACACATTTCTAGTATTTCCATTAAAAATTAGCCCTTGATTCTGCATGTGAGTTTACAGTCCACGTATCCATAACACCAGATTATAGAAGAAGGCAGGGTTTACAAAAATACAAATCTACATTTTTGGAATGTAAATATATGTAAAAATATATGTTAAAATGACTTTTTTATATGTTTAAAAACATCTGAAGAATATATAAAAAAATATATATTTTTAAAAATATATATTTTTTAAATATATTCTTCAGATATTTTTTTTAACATATAAAAAAGTCATTTGAACATATATTTTTTATATATATTTGTAAATGCATTCTAAAAATGTAGATTTGTATTTTTAAAGGCATACAGTATATTTGAAATGTATTTTTAAAAAGTTTTTTTCATTTATTTTGTAATAAAAAACGCATTTCAAAATGCAGTATATGTATGTATATATATATATATATATATATATATATATATATATATGTATATGTAGATATATATATATGTATATTTATATATATATATTTATATTTTGAAATATATTGAATATGGCAAAAACTGTAGCATTTCAAATATATGGCAATATATTTGGGAAGAATATTTTTAAAATATATTTCAAATATATTGTTCTTCCATACGGGTATCTTCCTGTAAAGTGTGAATCTGCCACTGCACATTACAATTACCATACAATTACATATGCAATTTACTTTTGTCTTTTTATTTTATGTAATATTATTACATACTTTGAAGCCTGTAATCTATATCAAAATATGGTTGCTATAAAAACCCAATTAAACAGAATAAGTTCCGAAAAAAACATCAAGAGAAATTTCCACTTCTCCTTCTCCACAAATGCTTTTGTGAGCTAAAATATTTTTAAGCATATATTTTTATGTGATATTAATGAAAATACATTTTATTCTGGAGATGTTGTGATGTGTGGGTTTCTGAAATGTCTGCTTTGGTGTTACTTTTTGCACTAGTGTTTTCATGGCAAATGGAATATCTCTTTAAAGCTCCCATCTACAATTAGCAACTTATTGCATTTTGGAATAATATATTTATATTAATTTATGGGTTTGGTACACTGCTGGTGTATGTAATTGCACTGCAATCTTGATTATGATCAGTTTATTTATTCAGATGACATTTCCGCTGTCATTTTGAATCTGCTTCTGAGAAGGAGGAAGTGTCTCATTGCCTATTACCTTACCCTGACTCCTGCTCACATGTCAGTACAAGCATTACCAATGTCACGTTGTAAGTAATTGTCCAATTCAGCCTTCTCTTTTCTTTTAAATTACCCTTCTCAAAATAAAAGGAAAAAACTCAGATGTTTTTCATACAAAAATTAAAGAAGTTCTCTTTTTTGTTTTTATCTTTTAGTAAAGTACATAAAAATGAGGGGAAGCCCCAGTAATCCACCTTAACAGGACCCATTAGTGGGGTGTGATGAGTCGACTTACCTATTGCTGCACAGGGTCACAGGATCAAACAATGGTCAGATCATCAAGGAACACTCTGTCCAATGACCGCCTTTCAACATGGTCTACCTTCCTGCATGATCTCACAGGCTCAGGGTCTACTGAGCTGTGCACCTTCCTGCATGATTATTTGATTTGTCAATGTGTGGCACACCACTATGCACCTTAGCATTGGCAGGGCTTCTTTATTGTTGGAGGTCAGCCAACTGACTTCACTATAAAACAAAGATAAAAAATATCCAGTGATTGTGCTTTTCCAAGTCCAATCAATACAGTACTTTGTAAACTAAAGAGAATGCAGCACTAATGAAAGAAAATTTAAAAATGATAAAGTCCAAATGAAAATCTTGAAAAGTCCTCAAAACGTTATAAAACAAAAATGTAGGAGACTGGTCTTGACCATATACACCAACACCATACACCCGGAAAAGATGGCTGTGACGGGAGTCACTTTGGGTGGGGGGCCCATGGAACCCAGCTCACTTTGGAGAGGTGGGGAGACCCCTGGCTCAATTCCCCTTATCCCTATTATGTGTAAGTCACCCTGTGCCTGTTAGGGGTATAGGATGATCTGTCCTAATATTGTGTAGACATGTTTAGGAGATAGGTGGGGTGGGGGTTGTGGATTGTTTGGTGTTGTGTGGCTGCATCCCATTGTTCTGTTGTTTGTCAGGCTTGTGAGCAAACTATTATGGGAAGCATGTGTTTCTGTGTATTGGCTTGGTGGGGGGTGTCTCCAGCAGCCCTCCGGGTGGGACTGTCTGCTGGTCATCTCTGTTACTGAATGGGGATTGCCCCGCCCTGTGTCATTATGCAGGGAGGGGGGATTGTCCCCTGAGTGTATATATTTTGTATCTGTGTTTCAAATAAAGAGTTCCATGTTCAGACAGACTGGTGTCCTGTAGTCTTGTATGGTCTGGCTCTGTTGTCGGTGTTCGGACAGGGAAGCGGTATTCTAACGGAAGTACTCAAGCGTAGTCTGGGTCGATTCTGTTGCAATGGCCCCTTACCGGATACTTTGACCGTATACAGTATGCGCGGTGTGATGAAGAGTAGATATGATGAATATTTTCAATAGATATCGTCTCCCGGATGGAATAATGGCTCCGTGATGGAGAATCTTCAATAGTATCGGTCAGTAAGTACCATATAATAGGGACTCAAAACAACAGGTGATCCACCATAGAAATCCTCTTGCACATATAAAATGAGCTTTCCACTTTAAGATTTATTATACTTCCAAGAATCTCAAGGTTTGACCCACACAAAGGTAAGGTCAAACATGCTTTGCCAACAGTCTGGGTGTAATAACTGGCAATATTCCTCCAATTCACTTGTAATAGGTAAGCATCACTTTAAGACTGCAAGACTCCAAGTATGGTGCGCTTGTAACATCCAGTGCACTAGACTGATCACGTGTTTACATTTCCATTCCAACAGTATATTGCCCCTTAAGGATGCATATTTCTGGAGTGGTGTCTAAAATGGCATAATGACGTCAAGTGGCCCCTTCTTCTGACGTGATCATTGACTTACTCATAGGAATATATATAATAATACAGTACTTTGAATTTCTCCTTTAAGCCAACAACAGTAATGATAAAACATCCAGGGACATCTGTAGCTCACACTTCACCCAACAGGTATCAGTGGT